ACCCCACCCTTATGGGAATAACCGATGTACAGCAGTGGACAGTTAATAAATGATATAATATTAATAATCGTGCACAACTGGGGGGGAAAGGGATTGTTAGTAATGGAGACTGAGAATCCCATTGCTAGCAATATACCCAACCACGTCGACCTCCTCGCGGTTCCCCCTGGAACCTATCATTCTTAATTCCTGATGAATTCATCATGATGGGCTAACTGGCCTGTTTTCTTTCTCACCTATCACACTTCACTGGTGCTCCGCCAGCGTATCCCGTTAGCGCAGGCGGGGTTACCATACCATTTTCACCCACAAAAAAAAAATTGTGCACAACTATTATAACAATTTGAGTGATATCAAATTACGCTAATCTCTGATTTTTAATTAATCTACACAGTTATATTAGGCGTGGTTACTTGTTTAGTTTGAAATTGTCTGTACAGTGTATTATTACATTGAGAGGTTTAATTTTGACCTTAAGTGTTTTATCTATAATAAATTAATGGCGCGACATATTAGTGTATCAGCTTGCTTAAAGCAAACATAAATTAAACCACGGTATTGTAGAAGACTAGTTTTTGCCCGCAACTTCACATGTACGGTAATATCTACTATATAACACGAATCAAGATAAAATGTACACCAGTTTTTAAATAACGTTCAGGAACACCACTGTAAAAATTAAATTAAATTTGTGGAGTAATTTTTACACGATACTACAATAAACAGATAGACAATAATTCGTATAATTAATTGTAAAACCTTTTATTAATTTTTAAACCATATACATACGAGTCTAAAAAACTAGGTACAAAAACTACTCGTAGGTAGTTTTCAATTGTCTTTTGTTAATTATAAACTTTTAGGCTTACTTACTTGACTTAATAAATTAAAAAAAAAAAACTCTATGGTGCTGTTATATTATATAAGTGAATCTGCCTTCAACTGCCAGTTTCATCAGAATCTTTCTGCAAGCAAAGTTTAGTAAATACACTAAGTTCCTATATATATATATATATATATATTAATAATAATCTGTAACTATTGGATTATTTCCAAAATTACATGGCACGTCATGGTGTAACGATAAACACTGTAAACTATATACAGGATGAATTGGAACACTAATAATTGCTGGTACTTATTTAATTTAAATCTGACCTCGCAGTTCACACTTGACATTTTGGATAGTTATTCGATACGTATATGCAATAAGGAGCCAATAGGTTATTATTATTTTTTTATCGTAAAATGGTATCTTACTAATCTAATTAATCAGGCCATATACACTGTTATATAAAAAACTTTTTTTATTTATTTATTTATTTAAAGGAACACCAACAGTATGTTGCATTATAACACATATAACAAACATTATCTGTCCCGTGTAGTTATTCCTCGGTCTTCCTCTTCCTCTTTTACCCTCTATTTTTCCTTCTACTATGCTCTTAAAAAAATCGTCATGTCGTATAAGGTGGCGTAGCATTTTGCCTCTTCTATTGTCTAGGTGTCAAATCGTATAGGGATATCAAGTATATGGCCTGGGATAGAGCTGGCTGGAAGAAGATGCATGAATTAGTTGCACCGACAAAAGGAAACTCTTAAATGAAAAGAGAGATCAAACATTAAATACAATACAATTTTATGCACATTCCTATTAAAGGTATTCACAGCATCTTCAACTTTTTAATTATTTTGAATTTGGAACACTTTTATTATTTTAAAAACTTCCTTCGATTTGGCGCCATTTCACGTATTTTTTCGAGTTCATTATAAAATTACAATATGAAATGGGGTGAAATTAAAAAATAGGATTGCAGTGATCGCAGTAATAAATATGTAATTATAAGTTTTAATATATGTATATATATATGATTGATATTGTTAGTAATGGGGAACAGCAACCCTAACATCAGGTCGAGGTCCACGCGGTTCCTCTTAGAAACCATCTTCGTGCAGTTTTACGATAAATCGTGCATGGTGAAGAATAAATGCGCCTATTTGTACGATATATTATGCAAATGAATAATTTTATACTATATGGACTAAGTATATATCGTGTTAACGGGGCCAAATTTAAAGTACCCGTAACCGGCGAGCGTATATAAAAAGATTGATGAATGTGCAAGAAGCGAAATAGGTTTGTTTGAATCGAAGCATTTGGCGTGCCATTGTTTCTGTCTACTCTAATGGGAGACAGGCGTGACAGATATGTATGTATAAAATAACATAGAAAAAATGTAAAGTAGCTAGAGATATTATACATTAGATAGCAAAAACAATTATTTATTTATTTATTTACATTTTATTGCACCATTTATAAACATAATAAATACATATTTTTTTATGAGAAGTGATACAAAATGCGGCCTTTTCATTAAACAATCTCTTGCACTTGTTCCAAAAACTTGTATTACAAGTACAAAAGCTGACGAGCTATATCAAACTAAGCAAGTATTAATAAAAACCGCTTTAGTTATATGCTCAATTCATTTTTTGCAAAGTTGGTCAAGACTGTTGGTTCCTTTCGACATACACTTCTGGTATAAGGCCGACCACTGCCGAACCGGACGCAGATCGCCGCCTACCGTATTTCCGTTCAAAGACAACATACTGTCGTTAAAATACCTTAATTATCTGTACAGTGACGTACTTACGCAGTAAGAATGCAAGATACTTTCATTCCAAGGTTGTTGTAATAAATGGCTAAGGGTACTAAATTTTTAGGATATATATATATATATATATAGAGATAGAGCATCGAGCCTCAAAAACAGTTCAACTTTTTGTCAGCTAATTGTCAAATTTACTGTCTCGTTTTTTTTCATTAATTTTCTATGTTTATATGCAACTTAGAATAGCAAACGAGCTGACGGCCCACCTGATGGAAAGTGGTAACCGTCGCCTATAGACATGAGCAGTAACATGGACATAACAGAGTATACTATTTCGCCCATGATACCCCCCATGCGTTGCCATTCCTGAGGACTCAGGTGTTATTCCTCTGTATCCTGTAAATTCGCTGCCTTATCTCACCGTTCAAGCCATAACACAGCCATGAAAACACAACTGCTTTACGGTAGAAATACCAATAGAAGAGAGGTGCCCAAGCACACAAATTTTTTACAAAGTCTCCCTCTGATATCTAAATGCTGATAGTTATGACCTAGTTAATATTTTCTGACTTATATATACATTATAAGTAGGTATAATACGTGTGGCTCGGCATAGAATAGGCCACCCCTTCTTTTTTCGGGATGGGGGGGGGGGGGTATAGCCCCCCCTCCCGAAAAAAAGCTAGCATAGCTTTCCATCAAATGGGTTGTCAGCATGTTTTTTTTTGATGGGTGAAAATGGTATGGTAACCCCGCCTGCGCTAACGGGATACGCTTGCGGCGCACCAGTGAAGGGTGATAGATGAGAATGAAAACAGGCCAGTTAGCCCATCATGATGAATTCATCAGGAATTAACCATGATAGTTTCCAGGGGGAACCGCAAGGAGGTCGACCTGGTTGGGTATATTTCTAGCAATGGGATTTTCGGTCTCCATTACTAACAATCCCTTTCCCCCCTGTCAGCATGTTTGCCATTCTAAGTTGCATAAAAACAAAATTTAGATACCGTTAAAAATTTACTACACTTTTTCTTTGACAAAAAAAAACATGTACATCGATGAGACCCTGTTTAGTCACTTCATTGTAAATCTATCATTCTCCTTCTAAAGTATGGTAAATTAGTCAACCAATGTTTAAGTAGGTCACAGCCTACCTTCTAGATGATATTACAGATTTAGAACGCTTTCACTTATGAAGGAAAAGAAAATCAAACCTTTATTTCTTGTGTAATTTTTATTTATTATCTATTTACATTCAGTACGCGTATTGTTTCGCGTTTGACATAACACAAAGTAGTCGCACCGCCATTTTGTAAGCGGCGCACGCGCAGCCTTTGATGAATTGTAGATTAATAGCTGTTTATTGCATAACCCGATCAATTATTAGATAATTAACGTTTTAAATTACAGATTTAATGTAGATAAATGTATCTGTAATGTATATATAGTAAATAGGTATCTATTAATATTGACACATTTTTTTTTATAATTGTATTGTAGAATACAAGTATGTTATGGTTATAATACAACATAGATTATGGGAATTTTCAATAGAAGCATGTACATTGAATTGCTGAATAAATTGTATTAATAATATTACAAATTAAAAATAAATTTGGTATATTATTAATGTCATATGTGTAAATGCAATTTGTACATTAAAATTGCAAAATTACATTACATTTATTTAAATGGAAAATAAAGATTTTAATCATTATAGATTTAGTATTTTTATAGCATTGTATAATAAAATATATATTATGTATTAATAGTTGTAACACTTCAGCTGCCCGCTAACGAAATGCTTTCTCACTGTACTGGGTTGACTGGAAGAGATCTCTGTCATAGATAAGTGCACCCTTGCTCACAACATGTATAAATAGATTATTTTATATGTAACTTGTAAGAATATATACATACATACATATATACATATTAAAAATTATGAAAGTTTTTTAATATTAAAGAACAGTATACAGTATTACAATATTTATGTATGTAAATATTCATTTATAAAGACTGTAATGGAAGGGGAAACTATATACCGATTCGAAGTCCAGTGTTGAAAATAATTTTAATTTTTTTTATATAGTTTTTTTTTATAAAATTCCCATTAATTATTTACATAATTCAACCCATCAACTACGTAAACAAAATCTTTTTACCAATGAAATATTTTTCCCAAGAAAATTTAATTAAAACATGTATAAAACTTTGAACGTATTACAACATGAAACTTAAGTTATCGAGTTAAGTTGAAAGGTTCAAAACCTTAATTGTATATTTCTTTGGGAATAAAATCCATTTTCTTAAATAAATAAATTCTGTATATAAAAAGTAAATATTTTACAATTTAAACCATTGTGTAATGGAGGAATTGTAATTAAAAAAATACACATTTCTTGTATTACAAAATTTATATATTTACAAAGATTCAATTAAAATATAAAAGATAAATTAAAGCTACGTATTTATAATTGCATAAAATTCAATAAAGTTGACTAGCACTAAAATAATATTTAATTCATAATAATATTTACAAAAATATAAAAAAAAATCGTGTACAAGTTATTAGCTATGGTTTGATTAACCCATAAAAATAACATTTGTATAAAAATTATTATATAAAAATGTTCCTAATTAAACAATTTAACCTGTAAAGTTAATCGAATAGGAGCCAGTGTTAGGGTCGAAATTCTGAGCGGGATGACCGTTGAAGGGGTTGAAGTTCTGGGGGTTGAAACTTTGCTGTTGACTGTACTGGTTCTGGTAGGGTTGTGAGGTGAACGCCCGGTATGAGAACTGGGGTTGTTGGTGATAAATTTGACTTTGTGGTCTGATATCCTGATTGTATTGTGGTTGTTGGTTGAAGAGACTGGTTTGCTGAGTGTACAGAGGACTTGAACGGTACGTGGTCTGTGGCTGGTAGGTTGGCTGAGGTTGATAAGTTGGCTGAGATTGGTAAGCTGGCTGAGGTTGATAAGTTGGCTGAGGTTGGTAAGCTGGCTGGGATTGGTATTGTTGGTACTGGGGTTCAGCCTGCGCCGGGCGGTGGTACTGTCTAAGAGCAGGCCTGTTCTGGCTCTTGCCGTTGTACTTGGGGTCTTCGTAGATCTTCGGGTCCTCTCGGTACTGCCCGTCGTCTTCTTGCCCATCTGTCAGCGCGTTGGTGTTTTGTTCGTTGAGGGTCGGCGGCGGGACCATGATCCCTGCACCTGTAAATTTATTTCTTTGTTAAAAATTTTAAAAATATGATCACGACCATCATGCTCCTGATTGGGTAAGCAGAGGCATTTATCATTTATACTATTTTTGTGAATATTTCGCCGAGCAATATTTTTTCAATATAATGTGACAGATATATATATATATATATATATATATATATATATATATATATATATATATATATATAATTCCACTGTCTGGAATAGTTTTAATTAAGTTAGCATGGCTAGTCACACTTTACATAAAGATAAATGTAATCGTCACTAATTATAAATAAAATACAATTAAAACGAACTAAACTTCCGATGTATATAAATAACAACAACATACGGTTGAGCAATTTAATAAAAATTGCGAAAGATTGTTAGAACAAAACAAAAAAATGGCGAGCCATCTAAATGGCAAACTAGGCGAGTGACGCAACAGTGGTCACCATTGACCTTCACGCCCTGATAACTTCAACTTACACATAATTAATTCAACTAGATACAATTAATAGAAATGTTATTAAAATTTTATATAAATTAATATAAATAAATAAATATTTTATCATGGACATATTATACAACGCCAAGACTTAAGACTCGTAAATTGTTTTATACTAATATAAACAACAAATAATACTACTAATACAAACAAGCTGACGGCCCACCTGATGGAAAGCGGTAACTGATGGAAAATGGTGCAGTACTATGGACATAACAGAGTATACTGTTTCGCCCATTAAAACCCCTCATGCGTTGCCATTCCTGAGGACTCAGGTGTTATTCATCTGTACCCTGTAAATTCATTGCCATATCCCACCCTTCAAACCGAAATGCAAACACAACTGCTTCACGATAGAAATTCGGATAAGACAGAGGTACCCAAGCAAACGACTTTTGTACAAAGTCTCCCTCTGGTATATATCATATAGTATTAGTAGTTTGTATTTACACAAATTCATTATTTATACAGTTTATATAAAAGATTATATTTTAGTTCATTTTTCATTTAAACCAAGATTCATTAAAAAGTTTTAAACCTACAGAATTCAGCGGTGGGATTTTAGGCTACCGGTAAAAACAGAGAAAGATAGAAAAATTAATATGGGACCAACACGGAAATAAGCCATATATATATAGCATGAAAATATTTTATTATAAAAGTAATTAGGTTATTTTATTTTTCTTTTAGAATTAATTTTTTATAACAATTTAATAATTATTTTTTTAACAGAGGGAGACTTTGTACAAAAGTCGATTGCTTGGGTACCTCTGTCCCATTCGTGTTTCAACCGTGAAGCAATTGTGTTTGCATGGCTGTGTTTCGGTTTGAAGGGTGGGATATGGCGTGAATTTACTGGGTACAGAGGAATAACACCTGAGTCCTCAGGAATGGCAACGCACGGGGGTATCATGGGCGAAACAGTATACTCTGTTATGTCCATGGTATTGCTCATGTTTATAGGCGACGGTTACCACTTTCCATCAGGTGGGCCGTCAGCTTGTTTGCCATTCTAAGTTGTATAAAAAAAAAAACATAATTTTATTATAATTTAAATGATAAAATTAGATTATATAAGTTAGTTTAAACTTTAAAAATTATATTTTAATTAGTAATATATTAAAATCTAAAGAAACAAGATGACAGAGAGTCATTATTTGAGATCAATTACCATTGGTTGGGCCATCAACACTTACTAGTAAATCGATTATGTCGGTATTTAATGAGTCGATTTCCCAAGAAACGAGTCATGGGAATTAGCGGGGCTCGTACAAAAAAATGTCGTAACGCGCCCCAGTTCCGACATGGTCCGTGTGTTTGGTAATGAGTAATGTTGGACCATTCGCAGGGTCAGTGTCGACAAATGTACCGAGCATTAATCTGAATAACGCTCGCGAATTGGACCGAAACATGTGACGTCATAGGGGGAGGCCTATCTTCAGCATTGGACGGGTAACTGCTAATATGGTATGCTAATAAGACATCAATTGCCTAGTCTTGCTTTATATTTGTATTGAATTTTGTAACAAAAAACAGAGGAAGACTTTGTACAAAAAACGTTTGTTTGGGTACCTCTGTCCCATTCGTGTTTCTACCGTGAAACAGTTGTGTTTGCATGGCTGTGTTTCGGTTTGAAAAAGCGTGAATTTACAGGGTACAGAGGAATAACATCTGAGTCCTCAGGAATGGCAACGCATGGGAAGTATAATAGGCGAAACAGTATACTCTGTTATGTCCATGGTACCGTTCAAGTCTATAGGCGACGGTTACCACTTTCCATTAGGTGGGCCGTCAGCTTGTTTGCTATTCTAAGTTGTATAAAAAAATATATAAATTAAATTTATTATATTAATTATATTGTGACATTTATATGCATGTAATCTGTAGTCAATGTTGTGTACGCCTTCTATAGGTATGCATATTAGCATACTACACAAAAAATGTTATTTAATCCATGTATAATATGTACACTGTTGGTGTGCCTTATTCGAAATAAATAAATCCTCATTTTGATGACGTCATATCCAATTAGGGTCGGCGACGCGCGCGTAACTCAGCTGGTATTGCAGGCGTTCATAAGCTACGGTAACTACTTACCATCAGGTGGACCGTATGCTTGTTTGCCACCTTAGTGGTATAAAATCCTTTATTTTTTTTTAAATATCGGCACAGTTCTTTCTTTAAGTAAATAAATATGGAATGGTAACTTCGCGGGCGCTATACGCTACAGCTTCGGTACTCGCAAACGGGTCATTAGTAAGTGATAATTGGTAAGGATATAAGTGGGTCGATTAGCCCATCGTGACGAATTCAATGAGAATGAATCACGATGGTTTCCAGAGGAGACCTCGTAGAGATCGACCTGATAGGATGGTTGCTAATAGTGGGGTTGTTAAATCTCATTACTAACAAATCTATGAGTACAATAGTACAGTAAGTACTCTCGCTACCATTCAAGTAGCATTGTATAAGTTTTTCTAATTGTTTTTACGCAACGCAATTTATAAACGACACGTGCTTTGTTTTATTTAAACGTTTCATTCAACAGTCGTGCAGCGGTCAGTGTTCGTAGCTCAACAAATATATTTCGCCATATTTAAATTTCAATGCCAACTAATTTATCAATGTTCGCATACTTCTTTAATTATCTCAATGATACATCATCATCATCATCATCATATCAGCCTTTAACTGTCCACTGCTGAATATAAGTCACCCCCTTGGGGGGTTTTTCCAGTATTTACCACGCTTGACAGGCGGATTGGCAACCGCAGTTAGATTTTGGAGATGTTTTATGAGAGACGACGCTGTCCATATCTCGTGTTCCCTTAGTCGCCTCTAACGACACCCACGGGAAAGGAAGGGGTGGCCTATTTTTTTTCTTTTTTTTATTGGATGAAAATGGAGTGGTAACCCCACCTGCACCACCAGTGAAGGGTGATCGATGAGGATGAAAATAGGCCAGTTAGCCCATCATGATGAATTCATCAGGAATTAACCATGATAGTTTCCAGGGGGAACCGCGAGGAGGTCGACCTGGTTGGATATATTGCTAGCAATGGGATTCTTAGTCTCCATTACTAACAATCCCTTTTCCCGCCGGGGTGGCCTATTCTATGCCGGGACCATAAGGTCGTGTATGATATATTTAAACTAAGTACTTTTAAATAATCTTATGTGAAAATAATTATATATACTTATAATAAATCTGTAGAGAGGTCAATTCTGTACATAAAATATATTTCCAAAATAACTATCGGGGGGTGATTAGTGATCGATACTGATGCCAAAAATGCAATCAGTAAAATTTTTATCTGTCTGCCTGTCTGTATGTTCGTTATAGAAACAAAAACTACTCGACGGATTTTAACGAAACTTGGTACAATTATTCTTCATACTCCTGGGCAGGTTATAGTATACTTTTCATCACGCTACGATCAATAGGAGCAGAGCAGTGAAGGGAAATGTTTGGAAAACGGAAGAAGATACTTCATTTTTAAGCTTCCGTCGCGTGTGCAGCCTTAATGGCCACTTTTTAAAATGTAAAAATGTCCACCCGTGCGAAGCCGGGACGGGCCGCTAGTATTATAATAAAAGGAAAACGGTTACGTTAAAAGTAGAGACGACGAGAGAGAGTACGAATCAGGTTATGGAATGAGCACGGAGTACATTCGAGGTTTTTGAGTTCTACAAAAAAGTGGTAAATAGATTTATTCAGGGTCAAAGCGCACTTAATAATCCTGGTATTGCAGGCGTTCATAGGCTATGATAACCGTTTACCATCAGGTAAGCCGTATGCTTGTTTGCCAGCTCAGTGATATAAAAAAATATGACGCAAAATTATCACTTCAATTTTATTTGCATATGATTTCACACTATAATTAACACTAGATATCAGATTCCTTTTTCTCTTTAAATCACTCTTAATTCTCTTGGACTAATTATTGTACTCATACAAAATTTTTATTTGTTTAAAATTGACCAAATTTTCGTCCCTAAAAAATCTTACCTTGAGGTTCAAATCCTCGTTTGCTGCTCGCTCCATACGATATCTCCCTCAGCTTGCCAGTCTCGTCCACATATCCGTACTTGCCGGCGACATCACCGTTAGGGTATTTGGTCTCGATCTTAAAGGACCCATCGGCTGCTTCATATCCATAACTGTAGGAGCCATCATCGTTCTGCCTGTTGATCTGTTTCAAGATGGGCACTGGTGTTGTGGTGGGACCCTGCTGGGAGTTGACCAGCAGCCACGCTGCGCAAAATATCGCTATCTGAAATTAAATTTACATCGCCGTTTAATATCTCTGTTTAGCGTAACGGTAGAGAATGCCATCAGGCTTTAAGTCCGCCCTGTAGACATATTTTAATGCGTGCAAGAGTATAAAAAAATAAAATATAGTACTTGCGATCTTCCTTGGATTTGCACGGTTTTAATAATAACTTATGTTACTTGTTGATAGCTTAGTTTTCAAATTAAGATTAGATTTCATAGGTGAAAGAACTTTAAAATCGGTTCAATATTTTTGAGTTTATCCTTTCCGGACAAACAATCAAATCTTTCCTGTTGACATATTTTAATGTGTGCAAATATATAAGTAAATAAAATATAGTAATGTTCTTTATGTTCAGTAGGACATACATTAAAGCTGATCAAAGCCATTTCATGCAAAATTAAAAATGATTATTTTATGTTAATTTTTAATTATGGAAATTAAGTTTAATTATATGTACATTTTATTTGCTCATTTTTTTTTCTCGTTTATTGTTTATATTGTATTTTTTACATTGCACTGAATAAAATATTTTTCTTTCTTTCTTTCTTTCTTTCTTAAACATTTATTTATAACTTGCAATCTTCCTTAGCTTTGCACGGTTTTTATAATGTAACAAATAATAATAACAACCCATGTTACTTGTTGAAAGCTTAGCTTTCAAACTAAGATTAGCTTTCATAGGTAAAATAATTTTAAAAAGCAGTTAAATGTTTTTTGAGTTTATATATTATTTTTTACCGGAGGGAGACTTTATACAAAAGTCGTTTGCTTGGGCACCTCTGTCCCATTCGTGTTTTTACCGTGAAGCAGTTGTGTTTGCATGGCTGTGTTTCGGTTTGAAGGATGGGATATGGCGTGAAATTATTGGGTACAGAGGAATGACATCTGAGTCCTCAGGAATGGCAACGCAATGGGGGGTATCATGGACGAAACAGTTGACTCTGTTATGTCCATAGTACTGCTCATGTCTATAGGCGACGGTTACCACTTTCCATCAGGTAGGCCGTCAGCTTGTTTGCCATTCTAAGTTGCATAAAAATCAATCCGCCCTGGTCAATCGACATACGCTGCTCATACAGACGAAGTCACAGATAAATATAGTATAAAAGAACATAAAGAAGTTAATAAATAACAACGTGGCCTTGATCTTGCGATCACTTGCCGAAACACTGCTTTCGTAATATGCTGTTATTAAAACTACACACCGACAGACACGCAATACGCGTTGCCTGAACTTGTCTGCAGCTAATTCCGGTATTGTCTTACAAGAATACATTATTTGAAAAGAAATAGAACGACTGGCATGTCGAGAAGAGCTTCTATATTGTTGAATAATTCATAAAGTGTAAATAATCTATAAATTATGCTGTAATCTTGGGAGATGAGATTGTTAGCAATGCGGACTACTAGTCCCATTGCTAGCAATATAGGATATATTGTAAACAATCGTAATCGTGTACAAAATCCGTTTGCTCGGCTACCTCTGTTCCATTCGTGTTTCAACCGTGAAGCAATTGTGTTTGCATGGCTGTGTTTCGGTTTGAAGGGTGGGTGGGATATGGCGTGAAATTACTGGGTACAGAGGAATAACACCTGAGTCCTCAGGAATGGCAACGCATGGGTGGTATTATGGGCGAGGCGGTATACTCTGTTATGTCCATGGTACTGCTCATGTCTATAGGCGACGGTTACCACTTTCCATCAGGTGGCCCGTCAGATTGTTTGCCATTCTAAGTTGTATAAAAAAAAATACATATCTATAGACGTAATTTTTTCCCCGTATTCAGTGGTCTGGTGCAGTTAGTGTCATTGACACGCAATAACAAATGCAGCCTTTCTAAAAGCATTTTTCGTGATACAATTTCCTTAGATTGTGCAATAAACTTGATTGTTTTTATATATCTATAAACGATCTACAAATTGGTTATTTATTACAACAATTTTTTCCTATTGGTTATTTGTAATGCAAGTGTATCGTTTAAAATTTATATGAAATCTGTCGTATTCGTATTCGTATGTATAAAATGCTTTTAAAAAAAGATCTATTAATATTAATCATAATAAGAATAGGTAAGTTTTTCTCGGCTATCTTAGAATGGCAAACAAGCTGACGGCCCACCTGATGGAAAGTGGCAACCGTCGCCTATAGACATGAGCAGTACCATGGACATAATAGAGTATACTGTTTCGCCCATGATACATCCCATGCGTTGCCATTCCTGAGGACTCAGGTGTTATTCCTCTGTACCCAGTAAATTCAGTATTCTCATCATTTCAGCCATTATGCGTCCACTGCTGGACATAAATCTCCCCCATAGACTGCCATAAAGAACGGTCCTGAACCATCTGCCACTGACTTCCTGCAATGTGTTTCATGTTGTCACTCCATCTAGTGGGGGATCGTCCTACACTGCGTTTATCGGTATGTGGTCGCCACTCAAGAACCTTTCTTCCCCATCGGTTATCGGTTCGGACAACGCATGGGGGGGGGGGGTTATCATGGGCGAAACAGTATACTCTGTCATATCCAAGATACAGTTCATGTCTATAGGCGACGGTGACAAAACAACATAATAATGAAGGTTACACAATTATATAATAACAAAAAATAGTAAATTTTACTTTGAAATTAGAATAAAAAAGAACAACACATAAAAAAAAAAAACAAAATGAATGTAACAGTGTTTGTGCAAAGGACCTAACTCAGCATATGTCGCAGTTTCATATCTGAAGCTACGACGCCGATATTCAGTAGGCCCTAAATACGTAACCATATATTACTGATTAATTATTTAAAAAGTGCTCTACCTACGAACTTGCGGTACATTACATGATAACTACATTTTGAAATTGTCATTAAAAAATGTTGCCATACCTCGAATAGAGGCCTAAACCTTAATTAAAGCGACTGATTGATATTCAATGAGGAAAAAATGACCTTACGTCTCCCTAAGTACGGGTTGTCATAAACTAAGGCGGTGCAAACCGCATTCCAATGCTCTACGACACTGTTTCGCTATTTATATATATATATATATATATATGTACACCTATATATATATAGCTGTTACCTTGTAAATAGATTTAATGATAGGCCTTTGGAAATATTTTGAATAGACTCATTATTTTGAAATGCCCTACTAATATTATAAATGTGAAAGTGAGTTTGTTTGTTACGTTATTTATTTATTATGCTTTTGTATATTCACTCATATATATATATATATATATATATATACACCAAAATGTACACAGGTGGACTTATCCCTTAAAGAGATTTCTTCCAGACAAACAAGCTAACAGCTCACCTGATGGAAAGTGGTAACCGTCACCTACAGACATGAGCAGTAACATGGACATAACAGAGTATACTGTTTCGCCTATGATACCCCCCATGCGTTGCCATTCCTGAGAACTCAGGTGTTATTCCTCTGTACCCTGTAAATTCATTGCCATACTCCACCGTTCAAACCGAAACAGCCATGCAAACTGCAAAAAAAACATGCAAACAACTGCTTCACGGTAGAAACACGAATGGGATAGAGGTGTCCAAACAAACGGCTTTTGTACAAAATCTCCCTCTGATAAATCAATTACTTTACGCAAAATTGCATTGATCAATCATGATATATATTGTTTGTCATAATAAAGCTAATTCCTTATAAAAAAAAACATGAACAAGAAAATGTATCTAATCTATAATGAAGTGAGACAGGTTGGCCTTGCGCAGAATTATCCAGAGCAGAATAGGTATCGCCTTATGTTACATACGTCGACACGTAATAAACATGCAACGCAATCTCATTTTGTAACAACAGTAAAGAGCTGGAAGAAATCTCTTTTAGAGATTTTGTTTTTTCAATGGATGCAATAAAGAAATATATATATATATATATATATATATATATATATATATATATATAATGGAATGGTAACCCCACCTGCGCTATCGGTTTACACCGGCGGGGCACCAGTGAAGGATGATAGGTGAGGATGAATTAAGTCAGTTTAGCCCATCGCGACGAATTCAACAAGAATTGTTCACGATGGTTTCTAGGGGGAACCACGTGGAGGTCGACCTAATAAGGTACATTGCTAGCAATGGGGCTGTCAAACTCCATTGCTAACAATTATTTTCCTCCCAACAGTAAAAAGCTTTAATAGCTTAGAAAATTGTTAATAATTTCTTAGATTATATAGATAGAGTGTCTCCATAGAAATGCTTCGAGAAAATGGGTCAACTTTTTTATACAATTTTGCGTGATAAATAGTTATGAGTGCCTCCTTTGTGGCTTCTATTTTTTTTCCTTTTTTTTTATACAACTTAGAATGGCAAACAAACTGACGGCCCACCTGATGGAAAGTGGTAATCGTCGCCTATAGACATGAGCAGTACCATGGACATAACAGAGTATACTGCTTCGCCCATAATAACCCCCATGCGTTGCCATTCCTGAGGACTCAGGTGTCATTCCTCTGTACCCTGTAAACTCACGCTATATCCCACCCTTCAAACCGAAACACAGCCATCCAAACACAACCGCTTTACGGTTGAAACACGAATGGGACAGAGGTACCCAAGCAAACAACTTTTGTACGAAGTCTTCCTCTAATAAAATATTCCCAAAGCCTAACTGCTGTTGCCAACACACTTGCCCACCGTAGCAACTACTGGCGAAACCCTCCTTATGGGGTAGATCTATGTCCAGCTGTGGACAGTTAATGGCTAATAGGAAATACTGCAAATAATAATGATTATAAATAATGTTAACAATTTAAAAAAATATACACTATATTTTTTTTATATGTTGCACAATATTTTCATCAATTAATGTAAAACGATTTCGACGATTCTTTTTGCAATCGACGCAGCTTACTCACTTTGTTTACTAATTTTATTTCGACTGAAACCGCATTTTTATGGGACAAAATTTTAGATTATTATTATCTGGTGTTTTTGTATGTATTACGTCCATTACTAGCTTTTACCCGCGACT